GCTATGAAGAACGATTCGATTTTCTGTTTACATGAATTGTTCTATATGATGCACATATAAAATATATGCAATATGCAAAATATGCACATTTTATGTTTGCACGATTTATGAAATATATTAAGCGATAGTTTGAACTTTTAATACCACGATAATTCACTTATTTTATAATCAATTAATTTAGTCTTTTACACACACACACACACACACACACACACACACACACACAGAGAGCCAGCCACCCAGATAGATAGACAGACAGACAGACAGACAGACAGAGATAATTAGCACGTTAACCGATATTATGAGAGTTTGTATTACTTTTATCGACGATCGTTATTAAAATAGATTTTACAATAATAGTTTAAACTAATTATTTATAAAATCGATTCAACTTAACATACGATAATATAATTAACGATCATTAACCTCCATTCAAAACGATTATATAGAAAATACTTTATCATTATTGTACGAGTGAAATGGCTTTTCTATATTTTTGTTGATAGATATTGGTTATAATTAAAAAAGCAAAAAACATCGGACAAAAAAAGTAAAAAGCTAATGAAAAAACAGTTAATTTCAAATAACCGTAGAATATATATATATTTTTTTAAATAAATAAATTATTTGTTACCCTCGTTAGATATTAATTTCTTTTATATACTGTAAAATTATGTTCGATACTTTTTAATGAAAATAGATATAGATTCACAAATTATTTTATTTCGAAACCAATATAATTGGAATTTTGTAACTGATAAATTTTAAATTAGTCTCACATTAATACGGTTACAGGCTTTTAACCGTTAATTTCAGTATAAATATGAGTGATAGTTGTGTATTTATAGCAGCATTAATTACTACGAATTATATTCATAATAAATAAAAAAATTTAATTTATAAGACTAGATTTTTTATTATTATTGATAAAACTCATTTATTCATTTACTATGCGTGTTAAAGGCTTAAAGTAAAGTAATTACGAGAATAAAAAAATTATAGGTTATGTTGTTTATAAACGTTTATGTCATTAAAAGTTATGTTGCATATAAAAAAAATCGTGATAAATAATATTACAATTTTAATCTTGGCACATTAAACTGGGTTGTTAATTATTTTTTAGTAAATTAAGCATGAGGGTAAAGTTTATTAGTGCATAAGAAAATACATATTTTATGTGTTCTTTCAGGATCTTGTATTTGTTTATAAACAATAACGAACATGAATTAAAATTGTTTCACTAATGTTATTAATTATTGTACAATAAATTAAATTAGTTTTTTTATTTTTCATTAGCTAATCAAATTATTCTTTACAATTAACTATTAGAAATATCAATAATCCATTCATTGATTATATATATATATATATATATATATATATATATATATATAATCGTTTGATTATATTTAATTGATGAATTTGAATGTTGAGATACTTTCTTTAATACTTGAATTTACATACTTTAAATTAAATTTAAAAAGTTTTTACAATCAATTGATACAAAGTTTTACATATAAAGAAAATGTTTTATAAATTCAAATAAGAATTTTATACATTTACATATTATTTTATATAAGATGTGTATAAAGTTCAATTTTAAAGCAAAAATTTTAAAAGAAATGGTTACAAGTCAATTTGGAGCATCGTATATCTTAAAATGAATAATTCATCCAAATAATAGCATCTAACACATTAGGTATTTAAGATTTTAGGAGATTTTAGATTACATTAGGTTTAATTGTCAAAGTTTATTGAAACTGTTGAAAGTATTTATATATACATAAAATCAATAGAACACCGTGTACATATTATATTTTATTACAAATTTTTATAAAAACGTATAAAGGAACAAATCTTTGCTTTATCGATTGAAAGCAAATGATTTTGTAGTAAACCAATGATACAATTTTGGTATTTTATTACTTTATTTTTCGAGCATAGTTTATCATTGCTAGGTCCTATACACACATTTTCAAGTTGCGAGCTTTTTAATTTTACTTAAAATTAATAAAACTTACTCACCGTCAAATGATTAGGTATTAAGGTCCTATTTTCTGCTAGAAAGATCTGAAAGTTCACCAATTGAGCTTGTCACGAAGTAACTGAAAATGCACAAAAACAACACTGTGAAAAATCTATGCTCGTTAAAGAAGAGTGGCAATACGAATACAGAAAGATAGTATTGAGAGGTTAAACTTAGTTGCATAATCAACTTTGTACATAAGTAGTTTTTGATTCTTTTTTTTTTTTTGTTTTTGTTAAACAATAACTAAAAAGTGTATTTTATCGAACTTATTTGGTATTTGGTGTCTTTTTAATATATTAATATTAGAATATTGTATTTTTTCAGAAATGTTAATATATTAGCTACAAAATTACATGCCTTTTCTTATTACTGATTAATAATGTATATACCTTCTGCATTACTTTTTCAAGCTCATACTCTAATGCAATATGTATTTTTATTTCTTTTACCTTTGCTTTAAAATGTTATCGGTTAATCGTGACTGTAAATCCTGAATAAACGCATAAAATTTAAATGTAAAAGAAACGCAGGACACTTTGCTTAATAAACTGGCGTATGCTTTCATTGCCTAATAAAGCTTGAAATTCTCAAGTAATAACAAATGCTTCGATCAATACTATACCAAATATTTAAATATTTTTGACACATAGAGCTTGCTAATTTTTTCATAATACTATCTATTTACTTTTATTCATCATAAAAACGAAATCTTTTCCTCCCGCGACATAATTTTCAATGACAATCAATATGTAAAAATCAATAGTCACTTCAAATAAGAATTCGAATCGACTGTCAATACAATATCAACAGTAAAATCTTACGAAATCACTCGCTAACAGTAGCAAAATATCTCAAAATTCTTACCCCGTTTTATAATTAGGCTTCATAGTGATCCATATACGATAAGTGATTAAAAATTTTGCGACCTCATGCGCAATCACACACACGCAATCGAAAAATCTTGAATTGAACCGTACAAAATCCATCGGAGCAGTCAAGGTTAATGCCGGGGATGAATGTATCAGACTGCTCGTCAGCCTCTATTTCAAACACCAAATAAATGACTAGATGTCCCCGTCAGAAAATGATAAAAAGTATGAAAAAGAAAATAAAAAAATAAAAAAAAATTAGGCTTTTGACATATCGATTAACGTCCTGCAAGTAGCAGCAGCAGTAGCAGCAGTAGCAGCAGTAGCAGCAGTAGCAGCAGCAGCAGCAGCAGCGGTGTCGGTGGCGGTGGCGGCAGCAATAGCAATAGTCAGCGAAACGGTTGTGCGAATGAAAATTTTAGGATATCCGCAAGCGTGCATGTGTGCGTGTATGAGGCGGCAGTCAGATAAAGGCTGTTCGTTCGTCAACCGAATACACCACTTACCCGAGAATTGGGTTAAATGATAAATTTTGCAAAAGCAACGCTCCCTATCTCGTGCTCTTTACTCGCTCGCTCATCGATTTCACCCTTTAAATGGAGTCGAAGAGAGGTACAGAGAGGCACAACAAGGGTACGTTAAGTGGCGCGGCAGTCGAAAGCAATGGAAAGATCGCCGCCAGGACGAGAGAGGCATAAAATAAAGCAGCGATTACCGTCAATTCAGCTCTTACGAACGATCCAACTTACCGTTCTCCGAGTCTCGTTACGCATTCTTCTCGTTACGAACAGACGCATTTGTTGTCGATGAATCTCGTAGCTGGAGGACGCGCGTGCGATCGCGGCGAAACATACACATGCGCGTACGGACTCCCAAACGCACATGCATCCACACACGCATTGTCTTTATGTATACCTATACTTATGTGTGCCCGTATTTGCAAATGCATATGTATATCCATGCATATATAATGCGCGTAGGAGCGTCAACACGTACACAGTGAAATACGCGCGAGCTACAGGCACATCACGAAACTACTGACATGTTATTAATGGTCGATGGTCACTGCTTCGACATTATGCACGATTCCTTTTTCTTTCCTAGTTTCTTGCCTCGAGCATCATCCAGGACGTGGATGCGCTCGTGCGACGAGTACGTTTTTTTCAGGCGCGTAAGGTAGGCCTGTGCGAGCTTTCGAGGCTCATTGTCGATCGCGACTCGGGCTCGAACGTCGATGGCCCGTCTTCTGAAAACTGGGAAAGCGCTGCGCTCTCCCGCTCTTTCTCTCTTCACGCCAATAATTTCTGTCTTGCGCGCGCGCACACTCGCGCACAACATATGTTCGTGTTGTACGATAGGAGCCAAGCAAGAGCGGCGGAGCTACGCAACCGCATTGAGCGAGAATAGAAATAGTGCTCCATCGAGAGACGTTAGGTTACGTTGTGTGCGTCTGCTCTCTCTCTCTCTCTCTCTCTCTCTCTCTCTCTCTCTCTCTCTCTGTGGGTATTTGTGCATGCGTGTGCAATAAGCCCCTTACCCCCTGCCCCTAAACGTAACTCACTCATACTAACGCTAGCACAGAGCTTTTAAGCAGCTATAAGAAAATGGTGGAGCACGTTACAATGTCGCCAACCGTCGAATAATGCGCGGGAGGATTTAAACGTTCTTTTCAAGACATCGACTTTGCTAATGGAGAAAAAAGTGCTTATCAGTCAGTGTATTTAAACCTATGCTTTTAGCTTACGCAACAAATTGATGAATTTTTTTTACTCGAATCGAATAGAATCGTTATTTGTTAATAAAGCAATGACGAATTTGTTTTTTAAGCGGCAATTATTATCGAAGTCACGAGGTGCTTCAGCAAAATCAGCTGCTCTATCGATCTAATCATTAAATTCAAAGTGGACGAAAAAAATTAAAAATTTAATTGTTCCTTTGACTATATCTTTTTATATCAATTATGATTTTGATATGTTGGAGGGGAAAAAAATAATAGGTTATATATATATATATATAAACAGTATGGAAATTAATATAATGTCAACCAATAATTATGAATGTATCCAATAATTATATATATATATATATATTTGTTTCGTTACTCTGTTCATTCTCTCTCACAACTTGTTGTACATTTTGTTTTTGTTATGAAAATTGTGAAGAATCATCGCCACGTATGTCGTACGGCAATTAAATTTTTTTTTTTTTTTTTTTTTTTTCTCCTTAACACAACGAATTTACGTTTCTTTGGTGTTGGCTGGATCGCAGTCAGTAATCCCTATTGTCAGAACTGATAAATTGAACGTAAATTGTCAAGCATTTGTTTGGTAATATTTTTATAGTTACTTTCAAGCACCAATCGAACATATTCCCATAATAGATAGGCACACGGGATCGATTAAATGTTAAATCTAATTAATTTCATCGCGTCAGCCAATGATGTTACGTCGAAACAAATTTAATCATATTTTTTTTAGCCCAACACTCTACAGCCAAATCATACAAAATACAGAGTTTTCTGCTACACGCTACTCGCGTAACCTGCTCACTTATCGAATTATATAGAGCGCTTAGTAATTAAAATGTTTCGAGATTGGTATTGGATGAGCGCCACCGGAAATTTAGCGAGAGCGCGCAAAAGCTGATGCTCTCGAATTCGCGATTTTCCCGGCCAGCTTGTAGAGTCCGTGTAAGGGCACTTTCTCCCCTTTAATGGCGCCCGAGACATTTAAGTACAATAAAATTATTATCACTGGAGCGAGCGCGAGTGGTTTGTCCCTCGTCGGGGCTCAGCCCTCGAAACAATCGCTCACAACGCAACATCAGCACTTCCAAAATCCATGCCCGTCATCTAGTGACTTTAGTGACATTCGCATGCCAGCCTGACTATCGATTGTCATTATTTATATCGTACGTTTCCTCTGCAGTCATCGATTCACTTTTTACATTTTACATTTTTACAGTAATGAGGGAAACAAGTTTAGTTTAGCCCCGGACGGTACGGTCAAGTTACACGGGTGGCAGGGCGAACCCATGCGCGAACCCAGGCGCTGAGGTAGGCTAGGAAGAGGAAGAGTCGAGGCGATAAGACGAGTGGTTCGACGAGAGCGAGGAGAGTTAAAAAAGAGGTGGCGAGAGAAGATCCGTGCGTGGTGGTGGCGGTGGTCTGCGTGTGCGGTGTGTGCGCGAGAGACGAGGAAATAAGAGGCTCAGAGCTGGGCGAGACACGAAATGACGGATAGCAGCCAGCAGCAGCAGTTCTGCTTGCGTTGGAATAACTTTCAGGCCAACATCACGAGCCAGTTCGAGGCCTTGCGCGATGACGAGGATTTCGTCGACGTTACTTTCGCTTGCGATGGCAGGCGGCTGCAGGCCCACAAGGTCGTCCTCTCGGCATGCAGCCCCTACTTCAAGGAGCTCTTCAAGGTTAGAAAATATGTCTCCTTGGCACTTGATTATATCCTGCTGCCTCGTCCCGCCCGCTCCTCGCCACATCCCACACGCAAAACCGAGAGAGAGAGAGAGAGAGAGAGAGAGAGAGAGAGAGAGAGAGAGAATGAGAATGAGAATGAGAATGAGGGAGCGAGCGAGCGAGAGTGAGAGTGAGAAGCAGCCACGCGAGAGAGCGCGAACGAGCGAAGTTGCGAACGAACGAGAGTGAGAGGGTTCGACGGGGGGGGGGGG